CTGAGCCAAGACATTTGCTGATTAATCAGAGTTTTGCCCTTGTCTTCTGCACGAATAAACCTTGAAATGTCAGGAGGTACTTTAATGCTTTTAAATAGCAAGAACACACCCACACTTTTTTTTTTTTTTTTGGTCCACCAGTAAGTGAAAATTCTGAATCTAATCACACTATACAATCTTTGTGGTATGCAGTAGGGCCAAATATCCATCAAGACTTGCTTTTTCTTATCAAGTAAGGTATTTCATTTTTTTTTCTTTTAGTAGATCATTGTTTCTTCACCACTGTTTGAATAGGCTATATCTTTTGCATTTCCAGGTGTTAATCCCCCGTCTCACAAAAAAGAAAGTTGTTAAATAGTATCCATTTTGCTGATAATGAATGAGAGTGTATCAAGATTCTAACAGAGAGGATATGGCTAAATTTTAATTAGTGTACTTTAGGGTGAAAGCAGGGCATTAAGAGAGTAGTTGTCATAAATAATCTCCACAACCTGTTCTAGCTGTTGCATTGCATGCTTATAATGATAGAAGTACTACTATTTATAGAGATCAAGTAGTGGAAGAAAATACTGTAGATTAAGATAACTACATGGTGAGTGGAAGGAAATAACGTTGCTTTTCTGACAATAAAACTAGTTATTAAATTGTTATAATATAAACAAGGAAGGCAGGCAGGAAAGGGGAGATTCCATTTCATGCTTTCATAATCTTAGTGCTGTGCTTTGGAGAAATTGTAATGTTTCTCATGTATGAACAGTTTAACTTTCCGTTCTCAATTGTACTTTATGAAATGGACTCAGAAATGGACTCATATTAATGCAATTGACATATTAGTAGATTGGCTCATATTATACAGAACAGTTACAGAGGGAAGACAGAGAGATATTGAGTAATATGATCTGTGCATTTTGTTATATAATTATTGTTCATGCTAAAGTTACAGAGAAGCCAAAAATTATACAGTCCACAGAAAATGTGGGGGGAGGGGGAAGAAAACCTTTTGCAATAGGAGTAGTTTATAAATATTCAAGAACATTAATATTATGATTTTAACATTCTGTTGCAATATTGGGCTTCTATTGAAAATTTAGGGTTTTGTTTTAGATTTGTTTAGTTCAGGAATGGAATAGATCACTTTCTGATTTTTTGTGAAGGCAGCTATATTTCCTAAATTTTTAAAAAGTACCATAGTATTCTATTCAATTTACAGTATCTTCCACCCCACTCCCCAAAAATGCAGAAAACCACAATTCCCGGACCATCATACTAATCACTGTGAACTAACCCAGTTGATCTTCATTAAGTTATGGTCTGGATGTTGATAGAAGAATAGGATTTTTTTTTTAATTTTGGAAAAAAGTTTTTTTTTTTTTTTTTAAGTCTATAATCTTTGGTCAAGTGGTTAAGGCACCAGGCTGGAAAGCAGGAGATTGTGAGTTCTATTCCCACCTTAGGCATGAAAAGTGGCTGGGTGACTCTGGGCCAGTCAGTCTTTCTCAGCCCAACTCATATTATGTATGCTTGCTGCCTTGAGTTATTTATAAAAATAATAAAGGTGGAATTTTTAAAAAAATCTAAAAAAAATCTAAATCTGATCTAAAATCTAATCATATTTAGAAGATGTTTATACATTTAGTAGATCTACATCTGACTCCAACAAGATTGAGAATGTTATATTCAGAAGTCCTAGGTCTGAAAATTTAGCCATAATGACTAAGTCAGTCAGTGTAAGAATGGCTGGAATCTGTGTCTTTAATACAATTTTTGTTCAGGATTAAAGCAGCATCCCACATCTTCCCATTCACTGAAGGTTCCATGAGAGATTTCCATGAACAGGAAAAAGGATGTTTTGCCAGTCCTATCTTTATCTGAACTTCTTTTCACCACCACCCATTCCCCCCATACAAAAAGGGCTCAGAGGAAAGTTATCTTCCTCCTAGTTCAAAGACTCTTCACTGAACAGAACACTGTACCTGGACCCAATCCATGGCTGGCTTTTATGCAAGTTTTACAGCATTCTATGATGTTGTAGTGAAAAGATCAAGGAGGGAGAACTGAGAAATGGTGTTTTTTAAAGGGATAATCTGCTTGCAATAGGTTAGAGTGTTAATGTCTTTAAAGAAGTCCTTTGTTGGTTTTAGAATTGTGCCCAATACAGAGCTAATATGGTTTCCTCTCTAGTGTCTGTTTCTACTTTATGCATAGATGCTTCCTAAAATAAAACAGGTTAAATTACCTTTAGCACACCTTTTTAGTACCCCTTATTGATCTCTCTCTCTCTCTCTCTCTCTTTTGGTTTTGATAAACAGTTTTTGTAAAATACTGCATGTTCATGAATATTTAAGTATGAAGTGGCTTTCATCACAACTTCTTAATCTCAAATAGTTGAATAAATCCCTAGGAGAAAGTTGATGGTCTTTGAGAAGCTGATAACACTGATGTAGGCACATCATAAAATGTTCATATGGACAAATTACACCTTACCTTATTTTATAAGACTTTCCAATAATGTGTTTTATAATTTTATTGCAAACATCATGAAAAAATCAACATGCTTTGTAATGGTGTGCTTGTACTGAACGACCTGCCAGATATAAACACATACTGCTGCAATACCATTGTTAAAGCTGTCAGGTTATCAGAATATGAGAAACATGTATGAAATAAATATTGGAAATTTGGAGTGGCTTTGGTATTAGCCTGAGAAGAGTATTTCAAGAGAAGATAAAACAAATGCAACTTACAAGCAGATGTATTTATTTATTATTGAAAAAGATTCTTTTCTTGCAAATAGGAAAACAGAAGGCAGCCATAAGAGACACAGCAATAGTAATAATTATAAAGTATCTTATTATGCTAGAATCTCTCAAACATTGCTTTAAATGCCTTTCTGCTCTACTTGAAGCAATAAGGAATTTATTTAAATGATAGCTTTTAATTTTAATTTGTATTTGTTTTGAATGTATGTCTTCCTGTTTCAAGCCCAGTTGTTTCCCTCTTGCTGCTCATTTTGATTGTATTAGCTTTTAATGTTCCAGACATTATTTTTGTAATACTTAACTTTTTGCTCCTTTGCATTACTTTTAGTAGATCATGATACTGATCAGAATCACTGAGATCAAAGGCCTATCATAAAGCATTTAATATTTCAGTGTCACTAGTGATGAACATGATTACAGAGTTGGAATATCTTCCTAGTGAGTATTTCATTACTACGGGAAGTCCTGAAGTACTTACATATGTTTGGAACCATCATTTTGAAAACAATATACCATTGTTATGTGTGCCATTTGTGTGCCTGTCTCTCTGTCTGAGAAAACAATTACAGCTACCAAGAGGAATTGGTGTAGACTAGATGACTAGTATAAATTGAATTAGTTTGACAAGGACATTTGGGGTGGGGGCTGAATGGACCATCAGCCTGATGGAAAACAGAAGAAAGCCCTTGGTGACCCAGTTGACCTAGGATGTCAATGTGGGTTTTCTGTGTGGTACTCTCATTCAGAGCCAAAATGCTTATTATTCAATAAAATCAATTTGATTGAGGTTCATAGTACAATAGAGAATTCACTTTCAAGGGGGGAGAAATTCCACAGAGTGCATTCTAATGGATGTTATTTATCTGAAAAGTCTGAACATTGTATATATCTCTAAAAAAGCATATTAAGTTTGGATAGTATCTATTGTCCTTAGCATTAATGCAATATCCAGCAATTTTATAAAATTGAGCTTTTCCAATGCTTGTTAATAATAGTGATGCAATTTTCCTCATTTTGTGATATATTTGAATAATTATTTTGTGCTTTTCTAAGCTATTGCTTGTGACTATAGTAGTCCACAAAGGATAGAGAAAATAATATAAAGCATATTATCTTTTTTAAATGGAAGAATATGTGAAAAAATTCCTTAATCATTTGCTCATCTTATTTAGGACTTACTGAAATTCTTATTATTCTTCTGTTCATGGCCATGAAATATTTGTGAACATATTGATTCTGCTTTAGTCAATATTAATTACATCAAGAATGGGGACTATTTTGTCAGGTTCACAATCTGATTGGAAAGTTCACAATTGCCAAATCAGAATACAACTTTCCATTATATTTGCATTCTCTAATGGAGTTCAACAAATGAAAGAATTCTGGAAACGTAACTACAAAAATGTGTAGATTCTTGGAAAACATACAAAAGTTATACTATGGAAAAGAACTTATATAAAATGTCTATGGTAGAGAAAACCAAGTACAAAAATTAGACAAACTACTTTCAGAAATGGAAGTAAATTAGAATGAAATGAATATAATTCTTTTGTGAAAATCTCTTCTTGCAGCCACAAGTTGATATAGATATAAAACAAAATAAACCAAGCAAAATAAAAGAGAAATTGAAAAATTATGATGCTTAGTTATTTCTTTGACATACAACAAAGATGGGATGGGATATGGGAACTATTATGAAATTCCTTCCTTTAATAAATAAGTCTGCACTTATAGCAAGTAGTATATACAACTACCTGAAGTGGTTTTGAACTAACCTGTATAGGATTGCATTACAATCTATATACTATTATTTCTTATTCTATCTTTCCTACAATATTTTAGTTGCTCATTCCCTCTCTTATTTTCAGTTTCCAGTGGTTATTGCCTAGTTTCATAGACTAATGAAGAAATGGACTGTTTAAAAACACAGATTTTAAAACATATACTTAAAACCTGCAATTTGGTGCAATATTTAATTTGAAATGCATAGTAGCAGGAAGCTATTGTAGCTACTAACAGTCCAACACATTTTTTGTGGTTTATGGAAATGTAAAATTCTACATAGCTGTAATTTCAGTTCATCACCTCTTAAGGGTATTTTAACATTTTCATTATTCTTCCTATCCATGTCAAAGGAGTTTGGAGTTGTGAGCCCATCTTTATGCCAATTTTTTTTTTAATTAATTCATTCTCAATGAGTGCATAGTATTTATTTATTTGTTTGCTTATTTTTAGGGACTTAAGTGAAAACCAGATTCAAGGCATCCCAAGGAAGGCTTTTCGAGGAATTACTGATGTAAAGAATTTGTAAGTATTGTCTGTAAATAGAATCTGAGCTGAAGCTAAATTCATTGTATTATGCTATTTTATGTTTTTCAGGACTAGATATGCATCGAGTACTTTGTGGTGTACAGAAATAGTTTTCTTGCTTAGAAATAGCTGGTCACCTTTGACATCCATTCACATCTTGATTAAATATAAGTACAGTCTTTCAAGATACTTTTTTCCCCTTTACAATCTTCAGTGACTGTTGAAGAGAACTTGGAATACATTAGTTGGAACAAATTGATAACTTAGCTTTGTACTATATGGGTAGTCCTCAATTAACAATGGTAACTGGTCTGAAATTTCCATTGCTAGGCAATGTGGTCATAAAGCCCAATGTCATGTGACTGCATCATTTAGCAGTGGCAATCCTGGCTCTCCCCATTGCCATCATTAAGTGCAGATCGTGGGTTGTTAAGCAAGACGCAGGTAGCTTGCAGGCAGGCCAGCAGGCAGGTAAGGGATTGCTGCTGGGAGGGGAAGGGTGTGCAGGTGTACTGCGAGATGCAGTGTGAATGCAGTGGGGGTGCTGCTGGGTGGGGTTGTCCCATAAGGCACAGTGTGGGTGCAGCTGGGCCTGGGGTGGCTGCTTGCTAGGTGGGGGAGGTTGCAAGCAACTTACCAGAACAACTTGTGATCTTCCTTACTGGCTTTTCCATTGACTTTGCTTGTGGGAAGCCATCAAGGAAGGTTGCAAATGGCACTTCCATGATCATGGGACACTGAAACCATCATAAGTGCAAGCCAGTTGCCAAGCTCTCAGATCACAATCACATGACCATGGGGGTACTGGGATGGCCAGAACTTTGAGGATCAGTTATAAGTACCACTTATTCAGCACCGTCGTAACTTTGAACAGTCACGGAATGAATGGTCATTAAACCAGGAATACTTGTAATTAACAATAATAAATACTGTATATAATACAATGGGGACACCTTCAGGGATTTTCTATCCAAGCAACAATTAGGTCTTGTACAGTCTCTTCTTGTGGCTTCAGAAAGATGTACTGGATTATCACATGCTATGATATATGAAGAAATCTAAGTCTCCTATAATGGAAACTGGAAGTTTCATGGATTTATACATTCATCACGGTTGAATCCTATCTTGTTCAATTAGTATTTTGCTCTATTAGTATTAGAGTAATTTGTATTTATTTCTTTTCCCTAAGACTGTAAAACTGTTCAGATGCATTATATCAGTAGTTTTTCAAGAATTCTGTACAGTACACCAATATTATTTTTCTTTATTTTAAAAGTACAGTAGATATGAAACTGAGCAATAAAAACTTCCCTGACAGTGTCCATGATTGGTTGGACTGAAGTTTCAACTGGAGAATTCAACCTCATGCTCTTAATTGCAAAACTACCATATCTAAAGGGAGCTATGCATTTAATTATTTTTCTTTAGTCATTTGCTGAAGTAGTATTTCTTTTTTATGTGGCTAGCAAGCATTATGTATATGAATGTCATGCTAATTTCTAATGATTTGGATTAATTAATTTTGTTTCATAAGATGTCCAGCTTTACATTAGCAGTAAGATATAATTAACATATACAATTAGGTTATGAAGAGAACAAAGGTCTTTGAATCAGTCTTCACAAGATGAAACAAAGTGTAGGAATTAATTTTAAAAAAGGTGTTTGGTGAAGGCATCTTTATATTGTAACTCTGCAATAATTGATGCATGTGGTTCTTATATAGGGGATGGTTGAAGAAAGGGAATAAATATTCTTCCTTACATTTATTGTATACCTGAAGTGAATACTTATACTAATCTTTTCCTGGGCTGGTTTGGCTGCCTTCTGCAGCTGATGTGCGGTCAGGAAAAACATTTGGTTTCTAGTGTTCCTGACAGGTGCAATATGTGTGCCCATTCACACTCAAAATCACATCTGACCTTTCAAATTCAGATCACTGCACAACCCTACTGCTTAGCTTCAGCTGTATTTCAGAAGTGAGGGAGTAAAAATTCACCTGGGGAAAAGAGAATCAATCAGCAAACGATTTCTTTCACTTAGAAATACCTGCTCGGAAGTACTTTTGGAAGGTTGGGTATTGAAAAAGGCTTCTTTCCATAAGAAAAAATGTTCTGTGCTCACCGAAGTACCATTTTACAGAGGGAGCTGGATGGTTTTTCCATCAAGCCCTTTTACTCTAGTTTTAAATAGTGCTCCCCAAACCCCTTTGGTTAATTTTTAAATAACTATTTTAAGACTACTTTTTCTTATATTTGATTAGCGGGAAAAAGAAGAATCATTCTAAGAAAAAAATCAGCCAATATTCATAAGAAGACAGAAAGGTTTAAAAGAATGCACGGGGGCAGAGGGGGGGGGGAATAGTACAGCCTGAATCAGAAACATCATCAAATTTAATGGTAGATGAAATTTACTTCAAGGTAATTCTATTGAATTAATTGAAAAATCTTCAGTTGGATAGAATAGTTTCACTTTTTTCCCCTTTAATTCCACTTTTAATCAAATTTTTGCTTCTATGTAGACTTGTCTAGTCTCATACTAATGTTCAAAGATCATTATAGTGACAAAAGCATTAAATATTATGATCACTATTTTATATATCATCATCATCATCATCAGTCGCACAGTCAGCCAGATGTTCAGATTGGATTTGGCATTTTCCACCTATGGAGTCCTCCCCAAGGACCTGGGATAGGCAGATGTTGTTTGATGGTGTTAGAGGTATCGTCACAGGATATAAGCTGTTCCAAGTAAAGCTGCCTTTTGCAATTGAC